GCAAATTACATTACTTACACTTAAAACTACTAAATTTCAAATTTTGATTTAAGAATTGTTTTACATATTTCTGGTTTACCAAGAAGTTTATAAAGAATGTCACTTGGCAATTTATTAAGCAGTAATGGTAACATATATATCCAACCACGCTTTCCATAGTTGTTATTGTATGGAGGAAGAACATACCTTGGCAGGTAATTTAGATTACGCAGTTTATTTTTTGTTTTTACCAATTGTTGTCGTTAATTTTAACGTGGCAGTTTTATCTATTTCATCATGAATTATGCTTTTCTTTTTCAGGTAGAAAAAATTTTTACTTTTCGTTTTTTTTTGAAAACCAACCTTTATCGAGTAGTTAGGTTTTAGCGATTATTACACATAGGAAATTAAATCAGTTTTTCGGGTCTAAATTGCTTATATTTGTTTTTCAAATAACTAACATTTCGTGCCCTAACCTGGTCTCATGGTCACGGCTGATTGTCTGAACTGACTGAATCAATCTTTAAACGATAAAAACAGATAATTAAAAGATTATAAATGTACAACGTAAAGATGAGCTCGAAGTTTCGTCAATAGGTAATACACAAAAACTGGTATTTACAAGAGATTTCATCATAATATCGTAATTTAAAAAAAATCTTGTCCTGTACCATGTCTTTTTTTATAATATCAAGTGTCTGGCTCAAAAGTTTCAATTACACTGGCAACATTACTGCCCCCCTAATCATAACTAAAGTAAAAGCTTTTTTTTGCGAAATAGAGTTATTAACATAGTCATAATATTTATTGCATCAATGTTGTAACACATAAGTTTTTACGAACTGGTGACAGCTCTTAACATTAACCCTGTGAGGGCATTGCTAAAATATAAAAATAAAATTTAAAATTTAAGATGTCAAAAATAAAATGAATGACTAATAAAATAAGAAAAAAGTCTTATTTAATAATAAATCAAAAATATAAAATTAGTAAATTGAAAATTAAATTTACAATTAAAAACAAAATCTCTTATCGTTGCTTTAGAGTGAAAACCCCGCATAAGCGTTTTTCGTTGAAAAAAAATAAATTATAAACTTCTTGCTCAAATATATTATTAAATTAATATAGTATCTGAAAGAGGTATAATTTAAGTAATTAAAATGCTAACTACAAACATTTGCGTGTACTATATTACACACCACACTTTTATTTTCGTCCTGAAAAAATTACACATAAATCACATACGAGGTATTAACCCTAAGACGACGTTATGTTCTACTTACTTTCTAAAAATCTTTATCTTTTTTTTCTATAAGGAGCTCTTTTGATATAATATCTGGAATTAGCAAAATAAGATCTATAAACCCCAATAAGTGGTTTTTATAAATCTTATTTATTTCAAGTTTCATTGTTAATCAAAAAAAGCGTAATTGAAATTTTTTTAAAGAAAAACAACTTTAGGTGCTCAAAATTTACCAAAATAAGAATGCCTTTGTTATGACAAGAAGGGCAAATTACCTCACTGAATGGCAATAGACACCTACTGAAGCACGTTCCAGAGCGGTGATCACAGCCTATCTCTGAATCGGCGACCCATCTCTTTACATAAGTCCCAACCCAAGCTTCTGAACCCCAGAGCCCCACCGTTCCGACCGCGACCTGTACGAAATCATACATCGGCACCAAAGCAGAATATTTTACGCCCTTTTCGAATTAAATCACTTAATTCATAAGGATCTTATATGTTCAGTGTTTATTTTAGATTTTTTTTATGGTGTCAAGTGACAAAACGAACATATCACGCGGCTGGTGTTATGCGACACGCCTGTAATTAGCAATTGTAGTCCCACTCAGAGCTTTATATTGCAAAGATCTGAGGGACACTGCCACTGCACCTGTCACCCTGAGACATCAAGTCTCATGTGCCTGTAGTTTCACCAGTACCCTTACGCTTCCAACAGTACGACTCTGGACGTACTCCTTCAAAAAGAGCTCTACTGCTACTAAATTATTATGGAAAGACGTGTCGTGACGTGACGTGAACCTTCAAAACCGAAACGCAGTAATGCTCACATTGCTGCTTAGTGGCAGAAATAGGTAAGGTGGCAGTACTTCCCTGGACGAACTCTTTCACAAGGAGTTGCTGTTTGAGCTACTTAGATTAATATTTGTTTATAATCTCACCTGATGAATAGTGAACGAGGTTGTTACACGACCGCCTAGAAAATTGCTATTCACTTTAACTCAAAAAGATCATTTTATATGATTCGGGAAAATAGAACACGGCTCCACGGGTGTACGTATGTATAATTGGCATAATGAGTGTGGACGGGAAACGGTCCGTTCTAATTGCTGGGATATTTCAAATTGTTGATAACTAGCTGTGCCCGTGAATTCATACGCTAAACATGTGTCACTTACGTAATTTTACAAAAAGGGAGCTCTGTTATTTGGTTATAATTTTAAATTTATTTTTACCATTAAGACGAGGTATTTCAACGCCTACATTTTAGTAGGTCAGGTGTGGGAGATCGCCATTCGCGTCCCGCAATCCGCGCGCTGTAAATTAATATTAATAAAACAAGAACAGGTGGAGAAAATGTGATACAGATCCGATGTTGACAAGGGCCCGATGGTGACTGACGGGGCAGCAAGCGGCGCGACATGTCGTTAAAGCCACTGAGCAAATTTGCAAAATACATTTGAATTTAATAACGATTGGGCTTCAGTTGAAAACCAAAATTTTGCAGGTTTTCTGTGTGTATTCAAAGAGAAAGATCTCCATTATCATATTATGTATAAAGTTAGCTGCCTGTCTATAATGGCTGTAGTGCCACTCAGAGCTTTAAATCGCAAACATCTGAGGGGCACTCCCACTGCGCCCGTCACCTTGAGACATAAGTTGACAAGTCCCATGTGCCTGTAATTTCACCAGCACCCTTACCCTTCCAAACCGGACCGCAGTACATTACTGTTTGACGACAAAAACTTATATATTAGCCTGTGTTCAGGATTTTGTATGATCGGATAAAGTACATCCTATCGTGTAACACATTATAACATTATTTAGACAATATCCTTAGGTGTATAACCCTACTTTTCAAGTTACAGTCTTTGTCCGTTGAATTTGTTAAAAACATTTCTCGGAATCCAATTTCTATCTTGTAACTCTGTTACACCAAACGCATAAAGCAATGTTATCTTTCAAGTTATTGAACATTCCACAGTTGAGTAATTACAAAAGTAACTTTATTGTTCACTTGAACTTATACCTCGTTCATTGTGTATTTAGAAACTTAGTGCTAATCACTTATTTATTTATTGAAAATGCAAGTAACAACAATAAAAGTTCCATTATGCAAGTAATTATTGCTATGATACCCCGCAGGGGTGCTTAATTTCTATTTTTAACCGACTTAAAAAAAGAGGAGGTTATACGTTCGGCTGTACGTAAGTTTTATGTATGTTTTCCGATTTTTCCGACGATAGTTGTGGATCGATTTTGAAAATTCTTTTTTTGTTTGAAAGGATGTACTCTCATGGTGGTTCCATTGCCACCAAATCATAATCTGATGAGAGAATCCATGGAAATCGAGGAAAATCCTCAAATTTTATAGGTATGTCAGTGTACTTACCGTTTTCTCCGTCAACTGTGGACAGATTTTGGAAATTCTTTTTTTGTTTGAAAGGTGGTCCCTGATGCCAGCGATATAATTCCGGGTTCGTTTCGGCTATCGCAAATAAAAGTAGACTTTTCATTTGACACAATACACATAATCAACAAACCACAGTAAAAATGACAACCAGGAAAAATGTATAAAATGTACAAAGGAGTCCGTAACTGTCCCATTGTCACCAAGAAGTCAGAATCTGTTAAGAGGATGCCATAGAAATCGAAAAAAGCCGACAAGCAAGCTTTTCGAGGTCGGTTTTCTTTTCAATGAAAATCTTACAGTCATTATATTAACGTTCTTTTTTAGTAGCAGCAGAGCTCCTTGTGAAAGAGTTCGTCCAGGAAAGTACTGCCACCTTACCTATTTCTACCACCAAGCAGTAATGTGAGATTATATGATATAGATATGGATAGGCGTACATATTACCACCAGACACACGACTTATTCATCCCTTGATATCATAAAAAAATTATACATTACAAAAACGTAATAATAAAATATATAGTTGAGATTAATATTATAAGTCAAATATCCTATCATCTGTCTTCGTCAAAAACATAAAATAACATAATAAAAGTTAAACTTAATATAAAAGGTTATTGTATATTATATTCACCGTTTTAGCTTTTTATTTTTGACTGACGTAATAACTTATTTCTGATTGATATGGAATTTCGAGTTCTTAGGTTATGGCAAGCGTTTTAAACTGGAAACGGAACTTATTTTTCCGATCTCAATGGTTTTTTCAAACAAACCAATATTTCGGGCTCTTTACAGGTTTGTTCGAATCATCGAATATATCACCAGAAATAGAGACGAAATAAGCGCTATCCATATCCAACTCATCAGACAAATGGGCCTTATATTATTTTATAATATCAACTCTCGTTTGCGCTGAAATAACAAATTTGAAAACTGAAATACTGAGGCACCAACAACTAACCTGTGTGTATGTCTCCGTATATTCCAAAATTGTTTTATATTTATTGTAATAAAGATAATATCTCTAACAATTGGGGCTTTTCCATTCGGTGGTGTGGGAAAAATAGTAAAACTTCTAATTACAAAACAAACGGAATCACATTTCATCGGTAGTTAAATATTACTTAAACATGTAATTCTTCAACTTTCGTTCATTATAGCAAAGTTCAAGTTAAACTGGTCAATTTGAGGTGTGAAACTATTACAATAATATAGTGTGAAACTACGGATCCCTATCATCTTCATCACTCTCATTACACGTTTTCTAGGAAACGCCCTTAATTTTCCTGATTCCTGAAAAAGTTCCAACTAATTACTATAATATTATTCACATTCGGTTTTACATCTATGTTTTTCTTTCCACAGACAGGTGAACTTAAAGGTAACACCTCAACTAGGGGACTGTTTCAACTGGAGTATGACGCCATCACAAAGTGAGCTGGTGGTATTTGCCAGGGTATCGGATCCGGCAGTGGATCTGGAAACAACTCCTCCTGATGGTCCCTGGCTGGAAGCGACATCTGCCGCAGTGCCGTGGAGCCTGGGTGTTGATATTGCTATTTGGAATGCTGTGGGTAAGTAGATACTTCATCGTCTTCAACCTGTCTCTAACAGAACATAGCGCATCTTTGGAATGAAAGTGACCTTATTAAAAAATTAATAATATGAGTTTATTCCGTAAATATAATTTAAAAATAATTTTTCATAAGTTTGTTAATCTGGTACTAACCCATTAAAGCTCTATACAATAAATTATCAACCATTATTTATCATTTAATAAATATTCAATGAATTTATTATTTATTATAAAAATATTACCTATTTATAGAAAAAATATTTACTTAATTGCTATTCTTACAAAATGCCAGAATGAAATGGCGCCTGACGAAAAATTCTAATTTTTCTTCTATCTAATGCTAAAAAAAACGTAATATAGATATTAATAATAATAAATAATAAATCGTTCATTTTCTTTTGTACAAGATGTAAGTACTACAATAGAAGTGAAAGGTTGGTAGACAGGAGCCCAAACTAGGTTATAACTGTGCTACAGCCACCTGGCCTCCGACACCTGGATTAAAACTACCGTCGGTTAAAAAAAGACGACAGATAGATAGATATAGGGATGACAAAAGTAATAATAAAAGTCAAACAATAATAAAATCTGATATATAAAAGAAACAGCTTACACAAATAGATACATTAAAGTACGAATATTTAATAAGCAGCATTAAGAAGTATTAAATCCTCTTTTGCTATATTTTAACGGAGAAACTCGAATATGAACTCGCAAAATGTGGAACTAAACCAATAATTTCCAATAGCTTCGCTCTTCTAACAGCACTTGTGTCATTCTGCGATTGGTATTTTTTGCTGCAAGCTGCAGCTCAACATCACAAATAAATCGCACCCTTAATGTAATAAAGCCTCATCCGTAAAATTGCAACTTTTCACAGGTGACGGTTAAACATTCTACGAACGAAAATGGTCGATAACTTTTTCTGCTTAAACCTAGAGTTATAAAATTTGACATATCGTTACATATTTTTACACTGTTAATACTATAGTGTATTTACTCAAAAAGTATTTTTTTTCAGATTCAATGAAAAACCAACTACTCACTATCCGTAAAACATTATTAAAATTTAAGGTTAAGGCTTATTACAGACATACAAATTTCTTACTTGTCAAATATATAAGTAAAAAAAATCATGTTTCTGAATAAGGACTGCTTTGTCCAGAACTAGATGAAGTTTGTCCCATTTTGATTAAGTAGATGTATTTTAATAGTTTCTTACAATATTATAACGGCAGTTTCATTGACGTGCAGTGAATATTTTTTTACGTTCAGCAATATAAATAAATATTATTGATGAAATATTAATGTATATTTTAATATTGAATTTCCGATATTTTTGCGATGTACCAATTTATTCCAAGTATGTTAAAAGCATTTTGGACGTATGGCTTTATTGTACAAATAGTATGGAATATCTTTCCGGGAACACACAGTTTCATTGTAATTTACAATAAATCGTGAAAAGAATTATGTTTACGAGCATGAAGTTTATTTTTGTATTTTTCAACAAATTCTTATAACGACGTCAGATACTTGCGATAATTTTTAACAGGGTGTTAGGTTAGAGGGTTCATTGAAATAAATAAGTTTGAGTCTCCGTACATTTTGTCCAATAAAATCCATTTTATAATTTCTTTACGTCTAAATCTCTTTTCCTCAGACAAAAAAAAAAGTAAAGAATTTAATTTCACCCTACGTATTTTCTACCATCACTTTACTCACAGGCTGGGCAGGATGGGGGGAGTGGGGTCCCTGCAGCAAGAGTTGCGGTGCCGGTATTCAGACCAGACGAAGGTACTGCTCCCGCTCCATGTGTGAGGGATACGGGGAGCAGGGAAGATCTTGTAACAGCTTCGATTGTAAAGGTAAGTTGTTTTATACAAAAAAAGTAGTTAGCCTACCTAGTGGGACTATACCACTGCGGACACAGACCTCTTAGAATGAGAGCACTTGGGCTATAGTTCCCAAGCGGGCAAAATGCGAATTGGGAACTTCACCCACATCATTAAATTGCTTTTCAAATGTGTATAGATTTCCTCACGATGTTTTCCTTTATTGAAAAGCTCAGGTAATTTTCAAATTCAATTTCGCACATAAATTTCGAAACCCCGAGAGGTGCAAGCCCTACTTCCAACCCACGACTCTCTACGTCGGTAAGAGGCGATAGGTCATAGCATTAGGCTGCTGTAGATAATTTATGATATATAAATAATAACTGGTATTTAATTTTCAAGTATTATTTATAGTAATGTTTTTCAGTTTATGGATAAGAAACTGCACCATACGTTCGCATTGTCAAAGTAAAGAATATTTTCCATTATAACTTTGTTGCCTCTATTGTACCTATGATTGTAATTTCTAAATTACATACATTTGTAAATATTTGGTAGTAATCTGTTGAAGGAAAACATCGTGGTAAAACTGAAAAACCATCTCATGCCACACGGGCGCTGCCGTTGCGTTGCGTCGCAACGCTATAATTTCAGGGCACCGAATGCCACACGAGCAATGCAGTATTGCAACGTAACGTCACTTACTTACGCACCGCAGAACCCTCCCCGCTACGCCTCCTAGTGCATGCGATGCACACGCGTTCCGTCGCCGCGCGCCGTTTTAATGCACCATCTGGCATGTAATTCATATGGAATACTTAGGTACTATGCGGCGTCACCGTAACGCATCATGTGGCATCGCTTTTATAGGAGAATGAATATCCTGTAAGTAGAACGTGTAACGTGTTGATCCTGATCTGTTAAGATTCAGGGTTAATTGTTACTCTTGCAAAAATTCTTTAAATTTACGGGTTTTTTATTATTTATTTGTTGTATTTCACCAAGTCGGTTAAAAAATAGAGCCCGCTACCGTATCTAAATTATTAGCATAGATCCAATCTAGTCGTAACTTTTTTATTTAAATAGTTATAATGTGTCATTACTGCCTGCTACATTGTCTAAATTATTAGCGTAGATTCAAATTTTATTTAAATAATTATAATGTGTCATTACTTTGAGCCGTGTCTGCAATAAATGGCGCCTTTTCAAATTTCAAAGTTATTTACAGAAATTTAAAAGTGCATCGAGTTCTTAGGTTTTCGCGATTGTTATACATAGGAAATGAAACTATTTTTCCGGATTTAAATCGCGTATATTTGTTTTTAGTGACAATATTGTTTTTAACGTGCAATATTACAGATATCTTCATAACACAGACTCGAATAAGAGTTCTTTGTTACTAGGCACTAATAAGGACAATAGTATGATTTTGAACTCGTGAATTACTGATCTATACGTACTTGACGTTTTGGTGAATTGCTTTCGACTTTGTTACAAGCGTGCTTGTATCTTTTTATATTATGTTAAAGATTTTTGTCTTTTTGAGTTGTAAATTTTTATTACAATTTCTGGATATTGAATATCGTGATTTTTGTTACTACCATGATATTCATATGTTTTTAGTGAAAATACTCCACCTTTTTTATTATTCTTGATATAAATATCGAATAACACAACCAAAAATTCTCTGGGCTGGCGGTGTTGTTGCTACACCGGGGCCAGACAAAATATTCGTAATTATTCTCCATAGAAATAAAAAACTCTAGACAGAGATCGGTTTAACTCTAGCGTATTGATACAAAGATTGAATAATCCTATTTTTTGGATCTAAATCGTGTATATTTGTTTTTTTTTGACCTACACATCTACTAAATTATACTAGGCAGATTATCGATTTCCCAAAAGCAGAAGTCATTCTCGGTTTTTCTTTTTTTTTCACTTTCATATTTCCTATAATATTTTTTCTTTTCATTGTCTTATTTTTTTCGTGATGTTTTTGTGTAAATAGTACTACAACACAAACACCAAGTGACGGGACGTACAAGTCGTGCACCTGGTGGTATGCGACAGGCCTATCCATAACAGTTGCAGTGCCACTCAGAGCTTTCAATTGCAAGGATCTTAGGGACACTGTCACTGCGCCCGTCACCCTGAGACATCAAGTCTCATGTGCCTGTAGTTTCACCAGCACCCTTACGCTTCCAAACCAGAACGCAGTAATGCTCACATTACTGCTTGGCGGCACAAATACGTGAGGTGGCAGTACGACACTGGACGAACTCTGTCAAAAAGAGCTCTACTGCTACTAAATTACTATGGAAAGACGTGTCGTTGAGATTACAACTGTTCTACGTGAAACTGGGTACATAGATCTACTGGGAATAAACGTCGCTTATCACGCTCACGACTTGTTTGTTCTGGCAGTTGGTATCTATTACAATAAAAAATGTGACATCTCAGTCTACATTTCGAAATTGTTTGTGGTCTGAGTGTTCTAGGTGATGCCCAATATTGTTAATCTAGTACTCATTGTATGGGGATTTAACTTGTTTGAGACGAAGTAATTGGTGTTTTTGTGTGGAATATTTTCATTGCGCGAAATTGTCTAATATACCTTAATGGGGGAAATATAGATAGTGTGGACCAAACTGGCAACAGACTTAAAAACTCTTGTAGCCTATGATTGATATTATTAATATCGGAATATTCGCTATTGCATCATTTAAAATATGTAAATAGAAATACATGAAGTTCCTTCTAATCTTAAAGAATCGATATGAGAAGAAAAAATAAATTGTTAAATTTATAGCACATTTTTATTCCTTTTAATTACGGAGATTTTTTCCCGGGAATCTCGGTATCGAAAATTTCGAGAATCTCGACAATTTTTTGGTATTTTCGAAACTCGAGACTGATGTTTTCAAGTTTGATAATATATTTTGAAACTTCACTTAATTTAACTGTATAAAAAAATGTAATAATCCTACAGTCAATTTTATTCTGGTTACATGGACACGGCAATATTGTAGAGCAAAGCTTAGTATAATCTATGGACTTTGAATACCGATATAAATAAAATCAGGTCCTCTTTATCTCCCTTTGATTCTTACAATTCCACTATAAAAACGAAAAATAAATGTGCTGTAAGGAAGCGCTATAGTAATTCTTTTGCCTGTGCTATTCTCGCTAAAATGACTCGACTGTAAACGTCGCGTAGTCTACAATCGATGAGAAGGAAAGTTCGAGAATCAAAAGTAGCAATTTATTTATTTTGTACAACTTACACTTACAGTACTTATAACTAAACATGTAAGTCATAGTCACAAAAAAGGTTGAGTCGATCACCTGTCAAAGATAGGATGCGGAAATTGGACCATAGAGGCGGTGACCGCCTCCCAATACTAACCAGCGGATGTTAGAAATTTTGATTCAGTATTGCTGAACACGTCAATATCATTTGTTTTGCTTAAGGATTCAATTACGGCTAGGGCTTCGAAGAATGGTGTCCGTCTTAGTGTCACTGTGCGGGTTAAATGAAAGTTGAATAGAGGGTATTTGCGCTGACGAAGGACGTAACGTGAGACTGGCGGGACAAAAAAAGGAATTTGAGCCAATAGAGGAGGGTTAATTATACATCCTCTTATTAGGTTAAAAATATATTTTAGAAGCTCCAGTTTTCGCCTGATGTATAGAGTTTATTGTGGGGATTCCACGCTGCGCACGTAGCTTCCAATTTACTTCGAACAAAGGCGTTATATAAATTACAAATTGCCTATCTGTGGTCAAAAAACTTAGATTGCCGCTTAATGAAGCCAAGACTTTTCCAAGCACTATTACATATCGTCGCTGGAAAGCGATAATGCTGTATTATACAATATATATATATAAGCGATAATGCTTGTATTAGTATTCTTGTTTAGTTTTTTTTTTCTGCTTCGATTGGTCTCATGTCTCTAAAATGAAAAATAAATTCTGGACAGCATAATTTTTTAACGCCTTTTTCTGACTAAGGAATTTTAAAACAATTTAACCCACATAAAATCCAGTGTTTTTTTGCGAAATGTGCGTTACATCAAGAACACGTAATTAAATTTTTCAGTGCCTCTGATTACAGCATTTTTGCGTTCCCTAATATGAAAATTGTACCACTTACAGCATTTACTTGGGTGTTGTTAAGTACGAACCATGTGATTTCCAGCGTTTTAAAGGTCCGAGTTTAAATAGTGCAATGAGTAATACGATATTTAAAAACAAATATAAACAATTACAGAACTTCTCCTTGCGTCATTTTATCCTTCCCTCGCTTAATGACACCGCGACTCTAGCCATCTTTAGAGACTACGCATGCAGCATTGACTTGTGTGTGTTGTCCGAGGTTTTTTATAGCAAAATCGAAAGTATTTTTTCAATTATTATGTAGTCTCGTTTATTTATTCAGACCATAAAGTCAGCATTTAAATTATAGTGAAATTTACTCAAATCACCATGATTATAGTGATTTCATTCGATTGAGCAATCCTACAAAGTTCAAAGTTATTGTGATATGTAGGTGTGTTAATATGTTTAGGTGATTATTATTTACTAAGTCACTAAAACGGATTTAGATACAATATTGCTAACAAGCCTTTTTCTGGATACATACATATATCTCTCGCCGTTCTCGCATCGGGGCAGGCAGAGAAATGTTTATACCTGTAGTGCGTTTCCGTCTTTTTATGAAGTTTTCTCTCACTTCACGTAGCAGTAACCATCATTATTTATTCAGCAAACTCATGTATCACAATCTTATTTCTAGATAGCATGAACCTTGGCACAGTCAATAGCACTAATTATGTTATAATAGTTACTATCAATAGTATAAATGACTGTAGTATGTTAAGTCATGCATACTACAAAGTTTAATTAATAATAAAATAGATACACGTATAAAATATATTCTACACTTGCTAACAAATATAATAACACAAATAATGTCATGTCAAATAATGTAGGTGAGCTAAAAGAGAACAAAGAAACAATTTTCTGTCGACGAACGCTATGCTACTAGATCAAAACAATCTAAGACTGAAAATTTAAATAACAAATTACTACGACCATCAGACGGTTCTAATAAATTGTAATCTCATCCAATGTTCAACAATCTTCTACCGAGAATAATTTAACCAGATTCAGTGCCACAAACTGCATCAAGAAGCTCCGTGATATGTCACCAAAGGATATGCAACACGCCAAACTGAAAACTAGTCTCTACAAAAGTTTATGATCTGACGCCCACGTTTCGAAACCCTGAGAAAAATTTATTCAAAGTGTCTACTGAAATGATCATAGAAAATGTGTACTTCCAAAAAGATCAATAATGCAGAAGTTGGTTGCAGTTCCCGGACCTAATCTTCAATTGACCAGTTACCACCCGAAATTATCAGTGATATACAACTGGGTTGCAGTTCATGGAATATGACAAAGAATTACGACACTATTTAGAAGGTTTAATTTTAATATTTTTTTAAATTTTGAAGTCTGCTTAATGGATGAATATAGTTTGGTTTTAATTTAAATTATAATCATGATAGAATGTTTATATATTTTAATTTTTTTCATTTATTACCAAGTGCCTACGAGGAATAGGGATGGTTTAATTATTATTGAATTTATACTAACACGTAATAATTCTTTAACATGTAAATAATCTTTTTCCTTGTAGGTACCAGGCAATAAACTAAAATAGAAAATATAAGAACAGAAAATGAAAAACTTATAATCAAGAGTAAGATTAGTTGTTGATTATTATTCTTTTATGAAATTTAAGGAAATTCCTTAGTAATATAATATATAATTCATCAGTTCTAAGGACGATGTAATATGGCACACAAAGTGTCAATGATTTTGTTTTATTGTGTTAAATCTCCAATTGTAATTCGATTTGTTTCATTGTACTCATTGTGACCAAAGTCTTTTTCACAAAGAGTGGTTCTTTTTAATAATAAACATTTTAAAAGCCATGTAAATTGCATGTGATTTTCACTAACACCATTTTAATGTTACTTGCTTTGGTTTAAAAAAGTACTCTTACTGCAGCGTTGAATTTCGTACATCTCCAAGAAGTTAACATTTAAAGACCAAAAATGTGTTAAGGAGCTCCAGTTCATTTGCATCACTCTTAAAATACCGTAAATTGACGGCATTAGTCCCACCTTTATACAAATTAACTTGAAAGTTGTAACTTTGTATGCTGTAGCATACTTTGGGGTCAAAATCTGAAAATCAAATTGTCGTAACCCACATGATCGTCATTAGGAGTAGAACTATTTCAAAACCGAGTTTATTGTTGAGAAGTCCTATTTATAGGTTTATTAGCAAAACGGTACGATATTAGCAAAAACGGTTCGAGTTTTTTGTGCCAAATTTAGCACAAAAAACTCGAACCGCTTCAGGGGTATGATTTTTTTCGTTTTTGCACTTTTTGTTTTGACTTCAGTGAAAAATTGGGTTTTTGAGTGTTACAGCATTATCGCTTTCCAGTGACGATATATCAATAACATGATCGGTAAATTTGAGTTCAGAATCGAATGTTACTCCCAAATCACGAACAGATTTCACACGGTTTAAGGTCATGCCACCGAGGCTGTACTCATTGAGGATTGGATCTCTCCAGGAATCACTGAACACTTTTCAATATTCATCTCCAAGCTGTTGTCCCGGCTCCAAGCGAAAATGCTGTTAATATCAGCTTGGAGTAGATTAAAATCCGCGGTGCACTTCACCGGCAAAGCGAATTTGACATCGTCAGCAAACATAAGGCAGACAGAAGATTTTACAGATGTAGAAAGATCATTTACACATAACAGCCCTTAGAGGTGAATGATTTTCTTCAAAATTCAATGAGACTACTATGGAGGTACCTTCATTCCAACAAAAAAGAATCATGAAAATCGGTTCTCAAATACCGGATTTATCGCGTAACATACATACAACAAAAAAACATACAATCGAATTGCGTACCTTCTCCTTTTTTTTTGAAGTCGGTTAATAATAATAATCCATAACATTTGTTAGTAAGAAAAGCACTTCACACGGACAGTAATAGCGTTTTTACGGTAAAATAAATACTAGAATATGAAAGTACGGGGTACCTCGTTTTGTTATATGGATCTTAAAAAACCAATTGGGCTTAATATTGCGTTTTTCAAGTGCTTTCTGTGTTGTTTACGCCAACTGCCTTTCCATTGAGAAATATCAACGACGTACTGACAAAATTCAATGACTTACAAGTCAAGTCGTGCGCCCGATTGTAAGCTACACCTGTCCATAGTACCAGTCAGAGCTTTAAATCTCAAAGATCTTGGGGCCAATGCCATCGCGCCCGTCACCCTGAGCCAAAGTTGACAATTCCCTTCTGCCTGTAATCTCACCAGCACCATTACCCTTCAAAACCGAAACACAGTAATGCTGACATTACTGCCTGGCAAAATTAAATATAATGTGAACCATATCACAAAGGCGCTATTTTTAGTTCTGAATAGAAACAGGCAATACTACCCTGGACGAACTATTGAAAAAGGAGCTCTAATGGTCCTTAAAAGTATAGTACTGCCATTACTGTCTATGAATGGGTTAAGCTAGTGTAAATCGTAGCCATTTTTAAAATTTGGTATGAAATAAAAAACTTTTAGGCAAAATGTTTGTTCCCAGGAACAATAAACCCTTTGGCGCCAGGAGCGAGAAGAAACTTTCATCCAGCACAAGCCCGGTGGGGTACAGTACCTGACAGACCACACGCGTTCAGTCTGAAACCCAACTCCTACATCTGGATAGCATCGTCAGAACTATTTCCTGCTGGGAAAACTTTCCCTAGAGAGTTCACGTTGTTCATCTCTTTGAGGTTACGTCCTGAGGTAAGTGGTTCAATTTTTAATTAAGTTTGAATTTATTGAACTCGGATTTACGAGTAATAATCCGAATTCAGCTTTATTCAACCGTATTCGATCGCTTCAATTTCTGATGTTGAGAATTAAATGGGTGGTTAAGGCATTGGATTTAAATATAGCGTGGAAACAATTCAAATGTATTCTGCCGGCTGTTATACGCAGTATTATTTATCTTGGACCTTAGAATAATAACGCATAGAATGATAGTTTCATATCAAATGAACTATCACAAGTGAGGCAAAAATCAAATTCATGTAGGCTAGTTTTAGTAGTAGGTTAATTTTCGGTTTTAGTGAATATTTATACAAAAATACAAGTTGAAACGCGTTACTTCCTTGTGGAATGTGATGTTAGTATCTATTTTATGTTTATCTGACGTATTTTTACACTCATTTACCGCACATTTCGTCATTTTTAGCTAAAATTCTTGATCTGTTCGCGGTGCAAGTTGACCTTGAGCACTGAAGACCCTACCGCACGTGTAGGCCCTTTGGGCGCGCTTCAATTTGCCTCACTTAGCGTGTGCAGACTAGGTTTCTATGCGTTATTATTCTAAGTCTTGGACTATATTACTAACATCATGAACAACAACTTTTGTTCGATGATTTTAACAAAACATAATAAATTTACCAAAAATATAAGGAACGAGCTTTTCTGTACTTTTTTGATTAGTTTTGAATGATACCAATATGATGATGATGAGACGAATAAGTCGTGCATCTGATGGTAAGCAATACGCATATCCATAGCAGTTGCTGTATCACGTAGAGCTTTAAATCGCAAAGTTGTGAAGTGCACGGCCACTGAGCCCATCTCCATGAGACATAAGTTGAAAAGTCCCATGTGCATGTAATTTATTATTATTAATTAACTAGACTCTTAAATAAAACTGTCTGTGACCTTTAACAACACGGTACATAGACACTAAGTTCCTCTCCATGTGACTTCTCCGTAATATCCATGTGTTGAATCGGAGCCAAATGGTAGTTGCACTTTTGGCATCCGACGTAGTCTCTGGAGGCACTGATAGCCACCTAACTTCGCACCGAAGTGTTAAATAGAAATGGAATATTAGTTTGAGTTTACGACTACAAGTCTTTAGTGATTGTGGTGTACGTTAACTTCACAGTAGTTTGTTTCTTTTTGTGCTTATCATATTTTTTTACGAGACCAAGTGACGGTACGAACAAGTCGCCCCCGTGATGGTGCATTACGTGCATTATTTGGTCAGTCAACAATTGTTACACCAATAAAAGATCAGAAAAACACATTTATAGTCTGAGCGGCATTGCAACTGTTATGGATAGGCATATCAGACAGGCATGCTTCAACAGGTGCATGACTTATTCGTCCCATCACGTGGTATCATTAAAAAAAGTTTAATTCATAATTCAACGTGTACATCTAAAATCTCCATTCAGATTCGTTATAAATAGTGAATTCGAATTTTGTCTGATTTTCGAATTAGGAACACCTGCTGCGTATGTTTTAAAAGGATGTTTACAATAACTGTCTAAAACACAAATAGATTTATGAGAATAAATTTACGACTTAACAAAGGTTTTAGGCTGGGTTCGAAGTGATAATTATCACTGATAATTATGACGATGATTAAGATGATATTTATAAGGTTTGTTGGAACAACAAAATGCTATGACTAGCAATGTCATGCTATGTATTTGTATCAGAGACGTATCCAAAAGTCTTAAACATCAATCTCAACAATAAGTCAGAAATAAGTCGTATTCCCAAAGATTTTTCTTCGTGTTTATTTAGTTTTCTCTCTGTTTATGATTTTGAATAAAAAAAAATAAAGAGACAAAACTGTGAATCAACGTGGATAATTTTCGGATACATTATATCGGATAGTTATCAAAGAAAATAAGTAATTTATCTTGATAACTTCGAACCCGGGTTGTAACCTGGGTTCCCTGCCTTTCCCTAATAAGGGTGAAAATAAAAGAAGGTAGGGCGGTTAACTATTTTAATAAAATTGAATAAATCCCAGGGTACATAAAAATTTATGATTACGTGGGCTCCGGCCTAAAGGTACGGATCGTTAGCACTCCCGGGGTTATGCACTCCCCTGGGTAAAGGCCGGCTGGAATGTAGATAGCCGGCGCCTTGTCGTGTCGGAGACGGAAGATGTTGAAGGAGGACTCCGACGGGAAGTGAACCCGGAACTGCGGCTGCCAGGCACGACGCGCGTCGCTTGAAGTTGGTGTTTGCCACGTAGTGGCCGAGGGTTTTAAACCCTAACGGAGTTCCTGTAACATGTTACAGTGCGGGTATACTGCGCTGCTGTGCACGCGCCCGTTGCGATTCCGTCCCGGCAGCTTAAGGAATGCTTTACCCAATGAGGGAACGCTTACGTATTAATCCTGCTGCCGGGAGAAATCACAACGGAATGTAAAACTGAAAAATAAAAAAAGGTTAAGTACTTGTGGGTAGGCAGAAGGCACCCACAAGCAAGAACAAAGCTAGATAATACGAAATAAATACAATGTGAAATGACACGTTGACTAAAAGGAAAATTAAAAAGGTCAAGTCACGTAAAACCGCGTGGCATCGCATGTGCCTTCGTTAATTACGCGGATTCATCAAAATTAAATAACTGGCTGCTGGATTGTTGCTGCCAGCCGTAAGGGAACGTATTTGTTTGACCTAATGATGTACAGGAACCGCGTAATTAACGAATGCACATTCCGCGACCGCCATTTTACAAAAATAGCGAATTACGAAAATAAGTGGTGTGGTATTGGAATACTCACCCGTATACGGGAACTTCTTATACTCACAAATTGTTAATTTCAAAAGCAATTGTCGTAGTTGCCGAAATGCGGATTTATATTTGCAAATTAAGTAATTAGGAGCGCGCGTAGGCGATGCCGGCTCGTGAGAAATGTGTGCGCGGGCGCCGTCGCAACTCCTTTTATATGCGAGCCGCAGAGAATCCACGCGTTCGCATTAGCACTCGTTAACCGATTATGTAAAAAAAGAGGTATGTAACGTTTTTCGTTACAGGGTTTTAGGCACTCTGATGCTTGTTTTATAACTTATGTGTAGCAAAATTTGAGACTTAGAAAATTTTTCATTCGGTTACAACACGAGTTTCTCATGTAGAAAATACATTCTTTTAAAATACATATAAAAAATTACATTTCGCATATCGGCTTCAATAGTGCCTCAAGTCAAAAATTAAATTGTTTTTTGATTTTGCTGTCAGCGCGCTTGCCAAAATCTTTCCTACAATAGTATATACTTAGTTTTAAACGTCACTATTTTGATGATTAACTATAAGAGTCTATGCAGACGGCGTATTTTATACGCCCCGTAAACGCACGTCATCTGCACGTATACGCGCTGTAGTCACGCGTATGTATCGCCCATTGATAAAAGATAGTTTTAATTTTAGTTTCGTTTGTTAATTTCAGTTAGTTTTTTGGAATGAAGCAACTACATGAAATTCTAAGTGTAAACTCCAGTGGAGTATATAAGCTTCTTGCTTCTAATGCGATGTTTGCGCGCGTTAAAATCGATTCACTACATGCTGATGACGCGCGTATACGTCGCTGTAAAAGCGCGTTCGTGAAACGCGCGTTTACGACGCGTGTAAAATACGCCGTGTGCTAGGCTCTAAGGATATTTATTCAAAACGTATTATTATGATTTGCACCACATTTTAACTTGCCAAGTTTAACATTTTTGGGTTATGTCAATGTCGACGCAAATGGGCGATTTGTGAAATAGCTGTAATATTTTAAGAAGTTTTAACAAGACCGTATTTTCAAAAAAAATTATGGCAGATTGTTTAGAAATAACAAATTATTGAAGTACATCAATTATACTTCACTTGCGTTCACTTTTCCTATTCACATTCATTATCACAGTTTAAACTACCAAGAAGATATATTTTTATAAGAACCTTTTTAAAGTATATTAGGCAAAAAATAAAGAAATTAAAAAGTATTTTATATTGTATTTCTCGTGTCAAATAATTGATTATTTTACACGAGAAATTACAACAGCACACTGTTTTCACAGTTATGAAAATTCTCAAAGGAATTGTTTAGTATTTTAATTTTCCTGTTGCCTTGCTCGTTAATGTGAAATCCTAAAGAATTGTCCCTTTCCTGCGAATTTCCTTGCTGTTAAAGATAAAAATTATACAAACGATGATGAATAAATTTATGTACGTCATTTTACCCTGTAGAATATAATTAGGAGCCTACATACATTTATTTATGGTAACCTATACCATTGACACAGCTTTATGCCTTTTGCGGTTGATACCCTAAGTCCCTGGGGGCCACAGGCGAAATTTGTAGCGAACGAGCTATTAGATGGCCTCATAGAAACCTCCGGTTACCACTCGGAAGACATGTGAAATCCCCCAACCCGCATTGAGCTAGTGTGGCGGACTATAGCTCAAACCATCGAATATATAGCCAGGAAAAGAGACAAAATAAGGGCCATTCATCCCTGGCAACTCATCAGTCAAATGTTACTGATATCACTTTTAAATATCAACTCTCGTTTGCGCTGAAATCACAGACTAAAAAGCTGAAATAGTACAGCGCCAATAACTATCCTATGTGTACGTCTCCGTATATTCCAAAAATATTCTCTAGGTATTTATTGTAATAAAGATAATATCTCTAACTATGGAAAACTGTTCCATTCAGTGGTGTGGGGAAAATAGTAAAACATCTAATTAAATTTTCTTTATTTAATTTAAAAATCCAAGTTAAACTGGCCTTATTGAAGTGAAACAATTGACGACACCCGTCAATTGTTTCGAATTCGGGCTGACCAATCGGAGCGCAGTTGTCACCGTAATGATTTGGCAAAATAGTTTTCAAACAAACTAAATGACATTTCGTCTCTATTTCTGGTTAAATACTTCATAGTCTAGACCCTCGCGATGTCGTGACGACAGATAGTCGTGCGGTTTAAAGTGTCGTGGCTTGTACATTTAAATGAAGTTGTTCATATATAGAACAACACAGTTAACTATCATTCACGACTTTTTTGACATTACGATGACAGATAGTCGTGACAATGGGAAGACCTGGAACGCCAGTCGTCAGACAATAGATAAAACGTCACGATAAAAATGCGACGATAGATAATCGCAGCTTCAAACTATTCTGTCGTGTAAACGATAAATTATATTATATTATATATAACGATAAAAATGCCGTGAACCGGTAAATTGTCCATCTAGTGGGAACAGCTAGACACGACAGTCGTCCAACGGTAAATAAAACGTTACGACGTAATGGGAACACGCCGTAAGGGGAGACCCGTGCTCAACAGTGGGACGTATAAATGGGTTAATGGTGATGAGTCAAGTAATTAATTGCTTGTAGCACATCAAAAACACACAACATGCAATACAATAATTTCGAGATTTTAACGAGAGGTATTATCTCCTCCAAGCGTATAACTTTCTCGAACTTTGGATACTCTGTCTACTTCGATATCTCTTAGTAACTTAGTTTCTGTGCAAGAGAGATAATAATTGAAGGCCTCATTTATCTACTTGTTTAACTGAAGTAACTAACATCTATATATCTAGGTGTATACCTCATTAAGATCATTAAGATATTAAATGATCGCGTTAAATACTATGCAGTGGTGTTAATAACCAGACAGCTTATATCAGAGCGTCTAAAAAGTATAACTATACGAGGAAACATTTTATGCGCCATTATAAATATTTTTATTGGTTAATGGGTTTTATAGTAAAGAGATTTTACATCGAAGAAATATTTTATTTTTATCTAACGTCGTTGTATTTAGACAATGTTTGGGTTAATTATACTATTTTTATATTAACTTTTTTACGCCAACCTTGTCAGTGCTACAGCTTTGTGCCTTTTGCGGTTGAAACCCTAGGTCCCTGGGGGCCACAAGCGAACATTCTAGCGAACGAGCTGTCAGATGGCCTCGTAGAAGCCTCCGTTGACCACAAGGCTGGCAGTTATTTCCGCCAAAGAATAAGTTTAGCTAGTCAAAGAGGTAATATTACCAGACTTCTGCGCACGATGCCCCAGAGTACGGCCCTTGAGGAAATTTTCTACTTATAAACATTCAAATAACTGTACCATAGTTTAATAAGTTTAATAAGGCAAAAATGCTCCATTTGGGATACACGATTGTTTGGATCGTAATGGATCATTCATTATACCTCTGAATCGACGCAAGCACCGAATCGTATGCCCTTGAATCGATCTTATAAAAATCGTATCAAAATTAATTTCGATTGAAAAAATAATTTTGACAACCTTTTTAGTTTCAGTAGGTTACAATTTTGATTTAGAGTTATACTAGCCAGCGAGAAAAAACGTTCAGATGGCACAGAAGTAGCGACAATCGCTAAATATTCTTGACTTATGGTATTTAGAGGTTGCCAAACTACTTTTCTTGCAGGCCTATAAAAAAAAATAGGGGTTCAGAAGGAGACTGTTTTGTTTAAATTATGAATGCAATCTAAACAATCCGATTCGCGAAATTGAGTCTTGAATCGATTTACTTAAACATAGCGTTGAAATGAATCGATACAAAAAATCGCTAGATCGTATACACTTGAATCGATCTTCATGAACATCGAATAGTAATGTTCATCCCTAAACTCCAAATAAACGTAGCAACGTCTGCGCGCCCGCCGCGCACCGAATACGAGCGTACACATTCACACAATCTCGGGACGTCCCAACACGCTCTTAATTATTTATGCGAATGTGTGCGTCCGTACACGGCGCGCGGCGTTCGCGCACACATACAAGCCGCGCTGTTAATTTGTACGGAGTTACCATATTCCTATTAATCAACGCATTGTCATCGATTATTTTAACCATTCGTAATATTGATACCAATAACTATTCGTTGACAAGAGTTTCACATTATTTTGGACCCGACTACCTGGGATGGACGAGGGTCGATAGACCGCCTACCGATGGACCTCACATATTCTCTTAGCGTTTTGTTATATCAAAAAACCATTATTTTACTATGCCTGTACGGTACTATTCCCGGGATAAAGCTATAGGGAGCTGTGGGGATTGGAAGTGCCGTCTCCCTCGCTCATGATTTCCCTATCTCTCTCTTCCTCTCTCCTTGCAAGCTCTGTAAGTATATGTATTGAAACAAACCCGAATTAATTAATTCTTGGGGTTTCACTTATTTAACATGTTCCTGACATAACGACGTCTGTGGTCGAGTGGCACAACCCTCGTGGTCGAGTGGCTTGCACACCGGTTTTCATGGTGTTGCCATCTCTGAGGTTCCGAGTTCGATTCCCGGCCGGATCGATGTAGAAAAACTAACTTTTCTGTATTGTCTCTGGTCTGGGTGTTTGAGTATCATCGTTGTTTCTGATTCCCATAATACAAGTATTTTAGTTACTTACTTTGGGATCAGAGCAACGTATGTATTGTTCTCTGGAGAACTCTATACTTTCAAGACATCGAGCTCATTTTTACGCACTTGCTCCTTCAATCATCCGGTATCCAAGCAGTTGAGGTATAAGCTCATTGCTTCTTTCGTCTTTTAAATCACATCGGTAATTCTAAAGATATAAAGCACTTAGTGTCCGATTCCATTTTCAAACTAAGTTCATGATTTCTTTTTCTATTTCTTCCAAGTTAAATTAACTCTCGGTTAGATCTTAGAAGCCTTTTAAATGCGACGCCCTTTGAGTAGTGAACTTGTCCGCAACTAATGGAACGTTAAAGCTTTGCGGGAAGTGAGAACGTGGTCTAGCTTTTACTAGACAAATATAGCTAAAGCAGGCATTTTCTAACGAATAATTGTTTTCCAAATCAGTTGAGATTATGGAAACATGTAAACTAATTGAAATATAAAAAGATATTTTCCATATGATAATTTTCTACAAATTATATAACTTTGTCTCGATCCTTTGAAAAGTGAGTTAGAGTGATTCTATTTCTTTCTGTTAGGTACTTACAGGTAGATATAATTAATATTATTAGATAGCAATTAATATTAGTTCTTTTACCTATTATAACTTCGATATCCGATAAATCGGTATAAAATCATCACCGGCACCTCTAGGTGTGGTATGCGTCTACTACTGCATGTATCGCGTGAGCGGTTAAAATTAAATAGTAGCAGTAGAGCTCCTTACTAAAGAAATCGTCCAAGGAAGTCCTGCCACCTTGCCTATGTCTGCCATCAAGTAGTAACGTGAGTATCAATGCCTTCAGGTTTTGAAGGGTGCTTATCAAATCACACGCGCATGGGACTTGCCAACTTATGTCTTAACGTGACAGGCGCAATAGCAATGCCCCTCAAATCTTGGCAATTCAAAGCCCTTATGTTCACTGGCACTAAACTTAAGTACGTCTTAAACTAATGCTTGCAATGCAAAAGACTATATAAGTAAGAGGGTCATATCAATTTGAGCATTAGTTTAAGAAGTGCTTAACTTTAGTGTGCAAGGGGACATTAGTACTGCAACTACTTTGAAGAGGTATGTATGTTGTTTAGTACTGCCTGGTAGTAAGCGATTTGTTCACGACTTGTCTGTCCCGTCACTTGGTGTCGTAAGAAAAATAATTAGAAAACTGATTTTTTTTCAATAGTACACATAATAACAATGGTCATGATCTGCATCTATCTTGTCCTTACCTCACTCATGTCGTTAGATTCAACACAGAAAATTTATACAAGTCATAGTGGACAAGAAATTATCTAATATAATATAACAAGGAAATGAAACTATGTTTCCGGATTTAAATCGCGTATACATGTTTTTTCAAACAACCCGAAGTTTCGGGCCCTTTACAGGTCTCATGGTCACGGTTGACGGTATACGCGATTCAAATCCGGAAAAATAGTTTCATTTCCTATGTGTAACAATCGCGAAAACCTAAGAACTCGATAATATAACAAGTCTAAATGGATTTTCTTTTTCTCAGAGCGGTGGATATGGGCAAGGGACATTATTCTCCCTTCGATCTAGAAGGCGCACAGGATCCTTCTTGTCCTTGGAGCTGGCTGGAAGAGGGGCAGCTAGGCTGGTACACGCTGGCGCTGGAGCCTCAAGATCTATTTATCTTGCAGTACCGTTATACGACTTTCGTTGGCATCATATTGCTATCAGGTATATGTAATTTACATTTCTGATTTTGGTAGTGATTTTTGACTCGCGCCGTAGCACATTTGAGAGAGCGGTAGCCCTGGCTTGACGAAGTCGCTGGTTCGAGTCCAGCCGGATCGAAGAATTTTTTTTGTGTTTGTCCGACTTTATAGCAATAATAACAAACTATTGAAGTATTTCCACAAAAAATATAATAAATATTTATGTAAACTGTTTGTTTTAAGTAGAGCAATTAATTTATAGTTCCTTGCTAATTTATCACAGATTATGAAACCTTTCTACCTTTTGAAACATTTCTTTTCTAACCTACTTTTGTTATTCATTTTTACCGAAGTATTGTTTCAAATTCAAAACAAGTACATTGCCTGTAGGTAATTAAAATTACAAGAAATACGATAAGAGTGCTTAGTGCTTAACATCGTGAGTTTAAAAAAAAATATAAAACGCGTGATTTTCATAGTAACGTTTTAGATTTTGCTTGAATGCTGCCATTTCCAAGTCAGATACACTAACTGGTAGTTTATTGTGCATTTTTTTTATATTGAAGCCACCTTTGCAGTTTCTTTTTTAAATTAAGAATATTCCATTTTTAATTTTATTCGATGTTTGAATTGAAAATGTATTAATGATTCAAGACGATTCCTTCAAAAATGTTGTCTTTGTGCAGAATTCCGTTTAGCTTAATGACAAGAAATAAATAAAAATTTACTCTCGGGTAAAAATTATAGCAGCCAGTTTTCATTAACTGTTAATTCAAGTTAAAAGCTTCCCCGAAAACCAAATATATTTCGTTCATGTGAATAACGAACGCATTAATCATCTCCAAGGCTATATTTTCAGATTTCCGCTTTTATATTTTTGGGTATAATTTCAGAAATTGTATCTAATTTACTGGGTAAATAATTTTTGCTTAAATCAGATTTATTTAGCTTAGCTAAGCAAAAATGGAAATAAGCTTATGCTATTTGTGTTTTGAACACTTATTGTTGCTGTGAGTGCGATATTGGGTGTATTTTGCACAACTTATGATAGTAAGATGTTTTGTGAATAGGTATTATGGCGCCTTATTTACAAAAATATTATGCAGTGTTTCTTTAGTCGCTACACATGTAGTAGGGAGATGAGAACAAAAAAGGTATTAATATAAACGCTTTTCAAATTGTAGTTTAAAAAAAACACACTTTTCACGCTAAAACCGTTCACAATTGCCTACCTGTTAATTCACGAATACAATCGTCTTTTAAAATTTGTCCCGTTACCTATTAAATATCATTTTGTTCGACCAAACCACCAAATGGTTTACAATTTTCAACAAATAATTTTTAGAGTTTGTTATAGTTATATCTGCATCTATAGTACTTCGTCCTTACTCAAGGATCATTGATTTGATTAAATATATTTTTCACTTCTAAGTTTGTATTTATGCTGGGTGTAGGCTGCATAGAATAGGATTTTATGCTTCAGTGTATAGAATATAATTGTATCGTCGCTTAAGACCGAGGCAATGATGCCTGCGCCAACAGCCACGCACACTAGAACTTTATAAAATAAAGTTTTACTTTTGTTTAATCCGTGTTATATTACAAAATTAAAAAAGTAGGCAATAGTAATTCTAATAAGTTATAAGAAACAGAAATGCATACAAAATAAAAGCTTGTAAAATATAACTGAGATTATGTAGTCCGACCTGAGTCACGTGCAAAAAAAAAGTAGTACATTGGCGGAAAGTTCTTAGTTTTTCTTAGCAATAGTTGTGTTATCGTTTATTTGTAATATTGCTGTTTAATTTCCTCGCAACCGAAGTAAAAAGCAGACTATATAACTTGTTCATAAAACTCATTTTACCCTCGACTTATGTATCCACCCTCGCCTGCGCCTCGGGTGGATATACTCAGCTCGGGTAAAATGACACGTTTTAAGCACTTGTTGTACAATCTATAATGTATATAGTAGCAGTAGACCTCCTTGTGAAAGAGTTCTTCCAGGATAGTACTGCCACATTACCTATTTCTGCCGCCAAACAGTAATGTCATCATTACTATGTTCCGGTTCTGAAGGGTGCTGGTGAAATTACAGGCACTTGGGACTTGTCAACTTACATCTCTGAGTGGCACTGCAAATGTATAATGCATGTAACTTACCATGAAACGTGTTCGTCCCGTCACTTGATATTATAATAAAAAAAGTTTATTTTTGTAAAGCATCCGCTACGTACTACTCTTTGTTTGTATATATTTGTTTAATTACGAATTTTTGATTAGTATTCGTATATCCCGTGGGGAGCACAGAACCGATCCAAGTTTCTGTGGCACCTGCATTCAATTTAACCCTGCTACTTTCTTTTTACGGTACTTCCAACGCTCTCCTAGGTCGCAATTCGAGAAACGCCATAGTGTCCCGCCCACCGACATTTAAGGTTCATTGTGCGTTTGGTGACATCTGCTAGTCTACTTTCCTTTCTGTGTCACATATTTGTTTCGCAGTCTTTGAGTGTAATTCCCACCAGTTTCCTTTCTAATGCCCTCTGGGTCAAACTAGATAATAATACGAAAATTACTAGTGGCATAGCTACCGCGCCATAGGTGTACTTCTGCAAGTATCTAATTTGAAGGTATCCTTAGTGTATGAATTTCTAACCACAGTTTTCCTTGTTGTAGTGTCCACGATGACAACACAGTACGGGCGTACGTTGATTGCCGTTGGCTCCGAACAGATGTCCTCGAAAAGGATGCTCTGGATACTCCAAGGGATGCAGACCTTATTATAGGATACCTTTTCTCGGTAAGTAAATCATTAAGATGAGTACTGCTTGTAATACTTGACATAATTTGAAACTAATTAATCAAATGTTAAATGACGATACTGAATACTTATCTGGGTATACCTCAGTGCCTCCACCGAGTAGAACTTTAATTTATTTTAATCTATTACTTGATACGGTAACACTATTTCAAAATATAGGTGACTTAGTGATTTTCTCAGATTCTATGTAATAAACTTTTGTGAAGATACACGAGTTCAAAAATAAAATAAGCATTGCCTTTATTGAATTTACCATCAATAGCACCACAGGTTTATACAGGGATAGCTCAATAAATCTTTTGATTAGTTAACGTGTGCGAGTGAACGTCCGTTCACACCGATATGGTCGTAATGGCGAGCAAACCGCAACGTACCTTTATATACTACTATACATCACAGGTTTTACACTCTTGACTATGAACGGTTCTTACCGACACGGATATAAAATTTTAAAATCTATAGAAGAATCTCACCAAATCATTGCATAAAGACGACACTTACCTTAGGCAAAGTTTTGACTGACTGGAATCAGTCGGGTGCTCGTGAAAAATATTTTTTTGAACTCAACTTATGTGTCCCAAATACTAAATAAATAGAATCATTCTGTTGTTATTTTCTCTGTATTGTGGACAATCAAAATCAGTCGAGTTAATAATAAACATTTACATTGCTAAGAAATATAAACCGGTAACATTTATTTTATGTCTACCCGCTGTCTTGCGTACATAAAATAATTTCCTCTGATACGAGTATAAGCAGCTGCGTTCACCATCTGCATTTTATTTCCCTGCTCACTGTGTGTAATAATATATTCTATATACATATATTCTATCTTTATCTCCCTCATTCTATCTGTAACATCTGTATTGTATTCTAACTGAATTATTTTGCTAACAGGGCGATCTTGAACAGCTTGTGTTGGTGCCAAAAGCCGGGCAGGCACAAAAGCAGTGTTCGAGCCAAGTTACAGGCCTATCTACTCCTTATGTCACACTTAACGATACGTAACTGAATTTTATTTCAAAGTGAGTTTCGTTCTTGAAGAAAGTGAAGTAGAATGAATTTGTGAATGGAGAATGATGACATGTTGCATTTTGTTTATATACTTTTGAAAGATTTAGTCATTATGTTCTTAAGTCATGTTAATTTTTCAGAAAATTATCAGAAGACATGAACTTTATAATAACATAGTATTAAATCAATTAACTCACATTGTACACGTCAAAGTTCTTTTTTCAATATTTAATTACACCAGAAATATTAATATTAATGGTCAAAATCTGTAGGGAGACAACCCGTTGCTTTTATGTAAAATGGGCCTTTAATATATAGCTTGTAACAAACTACTTACTAAAGTGTGACGTCGTGTGACGTCTGGGGTCTAATTCTGCTAATTTTTTTTGAGACTCCATTGAGATTATATTGCAATTATGATACAGTTGAGTCTTAATAGAGTGCCAGTGGAATGTCATTAATTCATTCAATCACTAACGACGGATGTTACCTTAATAAAACTATCCTGGAAATTACTCTGCTTTCTTAACTATCTCGTTCAATCAGCAATTTAGTCTTAATTTTTTTTTATCTCCATCGTGTAACCATACGATCAGTCGAATGGCCTGTAGAGTTAACTCCCCGGCAGGATCCCGTTCAATTACACCTGGATTTTTAAACTAGTTGATCCAATTCTAAGATTCTGCGCCTCTTAAGACGTCTCATTGAGTCAGTTGCCCTGGCAGCAGGTTAGGGTGGACATGCAGTCGCTTTTGGTACATAATAGCGTACGATCCAATTTCTTCCTTTACTGTGTTGACTTTTAGATAGTGATGGACTTCCGAGTTTTGAATGAACCAGGACGCATTAGAAATCTGCTTGAGGATGGAATTTTCAGCTCTTTGTATTAATGTCATATTTGAATTGCATGCAGCACTCTAAAGCTGAATGCCGTAAGTCCATACTGGTTTAAGGACATTCGTAAGGCAGTTATATACGAGAAGCTTATTGTCAAGAGACACCGCACTGTTCATTTTAAGCAGCAGTCTTCAATTTAAACATATGTAATATTAATACGTTACGAGATCGACGTGCCATCGTCTCGCCATTGAAGACGCAGAACGCGGAAAACTTGCAATGGCAGTTGCGTAGTAGCGCGATGGCTAGCCACTGATAAGTCAGTTTTAACTTTTAGCAGAATACCAAACGTACAAAGTCCTGCCATTGACACTCTATCTACACACAACTGAGATTATTTAAAATCAGCAGACTTGGGACCCTTGAGAGGATTTCTGATAGTCTATATCTACGAATCTTTGTCTTCTCAACGACTTGACTTTAATATAGAGCATTTATTTTTTCAATCTTCCCTTATTTTTATGATATATCAAATCGATTGACAGCTATAATCAGAGACGACAATAAGCAATAAAAAAAATCAAAAGTTTGAAACTACCTATTGTTCGACTATTTGATTGCCACAGAAAAAACCAACTGGGTAATTTACACTCTCGAAGACTACTAATATAATATACTCGTAGAAACAGTAGAATAAGAACAAGCATGGTAACTCCATACAAACGTCGCAGCACGGCTTGTATTTGTGCGCACCCGCAGCGCCGTGTACGGATGCACACGTTTGCATATTTAGCGATCCAATAACGTTGCCATAACACTAGTCGTCCCAACGCGCTTTTCATAATTTGCGAATGTGTGCGTCCACACAAGTTGCGCTGTTATTTTGTACAGAGTTACTCTACTTGTTTTATTCTCCTATAGTAGAAATGTTCTACAAATGTGGTTTTACTGTTGAATGAAAATCATTGCGTTATTACTTTTTAGTGTGGAATTGATCAACCAAGGTTATTCAATTTAATTATATTTTATATATAAACCTGAATACATGTATAAAAATGTTCTATATTCTTAGCATATAGTACATAATGTAAAGTAAACTTAATGATTATAAGAACTTAAACAACCTTCACATGTCTTATTTTGTAGCATTAGTTATAAAATTATATTAAATTCTTTTCACAAAAAAAAAATAATCACTTGTAAATAATTGTGTAAGTAGTTAGTTTTTTTTTCGAGTATTACGAATAGACGTAATTTATATAAACAAATCGCCCTAGGATTTTATTTATAAAACAACAATAATAAATATGTAATAAAGTATAGACTTCAACTACTTGAGATAGCATTTCTTACAGTGTAGTAGGCCTAATTGTAAATAAAAATATACATAGATGTATCTCGTTATTTCTTACTCATAATTATTGATGATTGATTTTATTAAACGAGGTTTGTGTTCAATCGTATATTATATTATCAATAGAATAATACAATTTCTTTTGTATTTCCTTTTATAGTTTCCAATATAGTCTTCTCCTAGTTTTTTATAATCTATTTGTTAAATAATTTATATCTCAATATTTACTTCATTTTCAATACATTTGAAATTAAGATGTTACGAACTGTTGTTTATATCTCTCTTGAATAAATGAAGGTTATGGGTATTCCGTATTTTCACTTATCACATTTAAAATCTTAGGCGTCCGCCTAAAGTCGAATAAGAACGAAGCCACACGGGCGCTACCGGTGTACTGCGTCGTTCCAACGCTGTGAATTCAACGCACAGAGTGCGACTAGAGACGCCATTAAGACTCAATTTTTATGAAGATTGGTTCAAGTGTATACGATCCAGTGATTTTTTGTATCGATTTATTTCAATGCGATTATTAAGTAAATCGATTCAACACTATCTGATGGTTTTCATGATTTAAACAAAACAGTATCTTTCTGTGTCCCTATTGAATTTTAAGGTTAATTCTATTTTGTATCGGTCTGAAAGAAAAGTAGTTTGGCTACAAATAAGTACAATAAGTTTAAAATATTTGGCTTTAACGCTACTTCTGTGCCATCTGAGCGTCTTTTCTTACTGACTAATATCACTCTAAACGAAAGTCGCAACCGACGGAAGTCAAAAAGGCAGTCAAAATTATTAATCAAAATTAATTGGGAAATTATTTTTATGAGATCGATTCAAGACCATACGATCAGATCTGTGGTTCGATTCAGAGGCATATGATCTATTACGATCCGAAAAATCGACTCAAAGTAAAAAATCGTGCATACCTAAGTGCCACACGACCAATGCGGTATCACAACTTGTCCAATATGTACGCGTATTATTTCACTATTGGCATGAAGTTTTGATTTATATGTAGTACAACTCAGGCGTCGCAACGCATTTTAAGGCATCGCTTTTAGAGTGAAAACCCCGACAACTTTTATTGTTATTTTAAGTAATTTTTGTTAAAGTAAAACTTGTTTAATATAATATAAACTCTTTATTGCACAAAGAAAATTAAAAACACATTATACAAAGGACAATATAAAAATCTTATCTCTAGAAGAGATTTCGTCCAGACAATCTTAACCATGGTGACAAAAAAGTGGGACTAATTTAATGCATAATGAATTTATCAAAACTCAAATGCAGATAATATAAATATGAATGACGATAACGTAAATACGTGTATGTCGATCAACACATTTACATAAACTGTATTGTATGTAAACACATTATATATTATGTAGACATCATATGTATATCGTCTTATAGAGATACTTATAATTTAATGAATTGAAATGCTAACTACAAACAACATGTGCTTATTATGTTTTACAGCACATATTTTATTGCTCAATAAGTACATTCAAATCGAGGTATTCACTCTAAGGCAACGGCAATAGGCCATTAATATAAAAATAAGGGTCTGAAATACGTAAAAAATTAATATTGGACCTACCACCTTACGATGATCGTAAAAAGCCATTGGATTTAAACGGCTCTGGACCGCGTGTAAGGGAATTATAGTAGGGTAGCATATGTAGACGCCAGCCACTTCTTATCGAACTAAGCACAATCCCATATTGGACCATAAATGATACCGCTCGTCAGCATTGCAGATAGCAGCGGCCTACGCGATATCGTTGTACAAAACGAATAAAATAGGGCCAAGTAATGCTCCCTAAGGAACGCAGAATGAGGACGGGTTACTGCGGTAAGTGTTACGGTTGAATACAAGACGGTATTTCAGCTAGCTGGTAAGTATTTTAAATATATTTGAAACGTTATTGTCTTTTGTGGGCCTAAAATCCAGATAATTATCTTTTTTTCACACAAACTAACGTTTTCCGAAAGTACAGCGGCCATAAATGGAATAAAGAGCCTGCCCTTTAAAGATCCGATAGTCTCTGATTAAATGTTAAATTTGTGTTTGAGTGATGCCACACGATACGTTGGCTTTGCAACGGAATGACATGACACACGGTGCGTTGAAACGATGCGTCACCGCTAGCAGCTTAGTATGCTGAAATCGTAAAGTTGCGGCGACGGTAACGCCTGTGTGGCAACGCTCCAGCACTATTTTTGAAACTGCTAGTTCCATTTAGAAGGTTATAAGAGTTGTATAGTTATATTAATTCATAATTCGATATGCCAGGTTAATAATAGGCTAACAAAGAAGCTAACAGGTCACGACCTACAGTCGATTACGTGATTCAACCTTTGTTCAGCAATAATCGAACATTTCTCCAGGGACCGAGCGAATTAATCGCATCTTGTAAGCGTTATATAATCCTGGTACCGTTACATCTGGCGGTATTTGTATCTCACATTGAGGTTTGCTCGTTTTATTAATGTATTCCTACGTTCATTATCATTAACTACTTCTTGATATTTCTAGGGTAGAAAAACAGTTCTCGGAAGTTCTTGAATTGGTCCGATTTTATGTCGTACTTCAGCAAGAAATGACCTTGGTGGCTCAATGGTTTGCACAATGGGCGTTGGATGAGATCCCGGGTTCGGTTCACCTGTAGAATCAACTTGGTTCTAGTCTGGGTATTCTGAGTATTGCTCCAGAGTGAATTTCGTTGCTCTAATACTCATATTCATTGCTGGCAGAATATGTAGCCGATGGGGCAACAGAGTTCTCGAGTGAGAACCACGTACCGGAAGACGCAGCGTGGACAAACCACTCACAAGGTGGACCAACGACCAGGTGGCAATTTTTAGGCGAGATCTACATCCAACTAAGATGATAAGTTTAATACCAGGTATTTGGCACAATATTGTTGGTTGATAAATATTATTAGGTCTTAATACGACGTCTTTGAATTAACTCCTTGTTACGTGATTTTTGCCATCAATTGTATCTTGAGTAAAAGAATTTCCATTTAAGAGTCGGTACAACCTCAAACGGCTTTGGTTGGTTCCGCATAACAGGGAAAATGTTGAATTGATATACACTGATTGGTGTACGGTGTGAAAACACGATTCCTAAAAGTTTTCGTGATAGAAAACACAAACTTACATCGAAATAATTGTTAATACAAAGATCGAACACTCAGAAAAAACACTCAGAAAAAATTACTTCGATCCGGTCGGTTCGAACCGACGTCTTCTTGCATACCGTGGCAGACGCTATACCAACTAAGCCACGGAACGAACCAACGGACCTCACGAATTTTTCTATGTGCTTGCGTCGTGTCTTTGTACTTGGTCTTTCAACGACTTTTTTACATCGAAATTTTACAAGAAATCCACTGTATTCAGGTACTTTACGTATACCAATGATTTATTTTTATATCAACTTAACTAAATAGAACACGTATAATATACGATATCTATTTTTCAAAGGGCTTTAATTGCATTTGTAAAAAAATAAATTCTGAAATAAAGCCAGTTTCCCTGCTGCTCGGCTCAAGCAAAATGAATCGTAATAATACGGGATAAAATTGAATTAGAGCTGAGATATTATCTACTCTTAAACACAATTTAATGTCAATTTACTAAACACCATGTTCAATACGTACGTGTAATGTTAGACCCGTTACATGATCCCAAATTGCTTACATAATATACCAAAGCAAATATTGGCTGACGAAATAATACCGTTCGAAAACCTAAAGTCAACCGTAATAACCAACATTGTTTGTTACAAGTTACATATTTCTTAGAAATATCATTTGTTTTCAATATAGGTAGTTATAACAGGTATAGTCAACCAATTCAGTTCATATAATATACACATACAAGCGACTACTTACAAAACTTGACACACGCAACTTTTATTACGCAAAAACGTAAACAAATCCTTAAGTATATCGAGTTCTTAGGTTTTCACGATTGTTGCAAATAGGAAATGAAACTATTTCTTTTATCTAAAGAGCCCGAAGCGTTGGTTAGTTTAAAATAACAAAATTATACGTGATTTAGACAAAAAAAATCCCTTATCAATCAATTATTATTTGACACAAAGATGGAACTACGTGAAGAAAAGTTCCTTCACTCTGATTGGACTCGAACTACGCGTCTGTTGCCACCGGGACCACCATTTTCACCCACTGAGCTACAGACCGAGTTAGCATTATTTATTTTATATCATCTGCTATTTTTATATTCAATAAAATAAATACAATACAATCCCTTACGCGATAAGTGCCTACTGCTGAGTATATAGCCGACACTGCAAGCGCTCGCACAAGTATTTTATTTACATTACAACCTTGTACAACCTCAGCAATCGGTTCCGCACGACTGCACACGGCGGGTAACGTTATTTTCACCTCTCTGAACGCGTGCTTAGGTTCCTTTTCCTCGTA